GGAGGAATAAATAAATAAATTTATTTTGGTTTTAAGACAGGGAAAATAAAAACTATTAAAATCCACTTGGGGCTCTTATTTCAGTGCTCTCTGTGAAAGAAAATACCGACAATAGATGGCACTGTGGTTCTGTGACCCGGGGGTTGTTTCTGTCTCTGTAGCGGTGCCATGCTGTTTGTGCTGCTCTGGCGGTGGAGCTGTTCCGGGCTGGACACCAGGTGCCCACCACACTCCCACTGCCCTCCTCAGCCAGGCAGGGCAGAGGAAACACAAGGAAAACTTCGTGGCTTGAGATAAGGGGAGGAAGAGATCACTCACCATGTCATGGGCAAAATAACTTGGCTTAGGGAAATGAGTTTAATTTATTGCCAATTAAATCAGAGTAGTCTAATGAGACAAAGAAGTTAAATCTTAAAACAGCTTCACCCCTCCACCTCTCTCCCTTCTTCCTGGGCTGAACTTCACTCTTGATTTTTCTCTACCTCTCCCTCCACAGTGGCGCAGACGGATGGGGAATGGGAACTGTGGACAGGTTTGTGCTGTTCCCTCCTCCTTAGGGAGAGGACTCCTCACACTCTTCCCCTGCTGCAGCTTGAGGTCTCTCCCTTTGAAGACAATCGTCCATGAACTTCTCCAACTTGCATCCCTTCCTCGGGCTGCAGTTCTTCATGAACTGCTCCATTGTGGGTCACAAGTCCTGCCAGCAAACACAAAACCCACTCCTGTAGCTTCCTCACTTGTGAAACCTTACCAAGCTAGCCAATATAGCTTATTAATTTTAATCTTATAGTTCTACTTCTTAGTGAAATTAATTTAATAGGCTTTCTACTATTGCAAATACACTGTTTCTGAGACTGAAAATTACTAAGCTGTATGTACTTACCCAAAGAGTACCTCTTCAGTAGAAGGATAGCTGTCCTTAGAAAAAGCAAATTATTACAATGGCTCATTTTGGACCAGTTTACTGAGATAGTTAAATTCTGCAACATGCTCTTTCTTTTTCTCCAACAAAATACTTAAAATTACTTTAGCCTTCAGCAGACATTGTACTGAATATTTATGGGAGAAATAAAACCAAACCAAATTAGCTATTTAAGACAAACCTCCAGTTTATAAAACAACTGATTGCATTTGAATATTTTAATCTGCTCTACTGGCAGTGCGATCAGACAAAACGGTAAAGCATTGAAACACCATTTTACATTAACATTACAAAATACAACAATTTTTTTCTCTATGTATTTACATAAGCAAACATATAGGTATTCAAAATAGAATGCATCTCACCGTCTGGCAATAATTACATAAGTACAGTGCATGGTTGACTGGATGGGATAGATACATAGGAATTTGTACCCTGAAGTGTAAAAAGGATGCACACCAGCTTAGGAGATACATGGTGAGCTTCATGTCTTTGGACATTTTTCAGATGCAGTCTTAACAGTAATAAAATGTCAATCTACTTGAAAAATTGATGCTGAAAAGTTTTTTCAGAGGAAGTGGTTTTTTTGGATGCAGATATGACAGACTGACTCAGCATGCTTTTCCTGTGAAGTAGGGGAAGGCCCTAACCTCTGAACCAGTCTGTATGAATGTCTTCTTTTTTTTTTTTTTTAACCTGAAAAATTACAAAAAATGCCATTCCATTCTGATGCATAATGAAAACACAGTTTTTAGGAAGATGGAGATGCTGCTCTGAAGCTGGTCATATTAAACCGTGGTGTTCATTTCAAGCATGGGCCAAGTGCTGTAAATCCTACTTTAAAACAGCTGAACTTTGTAATCCGTCTGCAGTATAATGAATTCATTAATTGCTGTCTACTGATGAACAACCCCTAGCAGATTTGGCATGGTGGCTAGAACAAATTCATATCCTGACTCTGTCGTCCTCACTAAGGCAAACTGCACAAAAATCTATTAATATTTTGATGCAGGGTGGCAGAATCAGGCCTTTCTAAGCTGTCAAAAATGTCCATAAAGAGCTGGAGATATTGGTCTTTGCTGTTCATTCTTGGCCTTGAGAGGCTACTTAGGCAAAAGCTGCTGATCACTCAATAAAACCATCTGAGTGCTACAGAATCAAAATGTCAGGCATCAGTTTTCCCTGCTTCTAAGCAAAAACTAAGTGTTATGTTCTCTCCAGCTGTCAATTAATGAAATGCTGTTAAGTCTCTTATGTCCAAAACATAGGTTTTATTTTAAAATAAGCTGGAAAAAAAAATTTTCAGAGTCACCTTGTAACAAAACTTCAAGCCAGTAATTGAAACCCTCTGTGATTGTAGTGAAACATTCCCTGTCAGTATTTTCAACCTGAGCAATTTGACATTGTGAATGAAGAACAGAAAGGGAAATGAAAGAGAAACAGAGGGCTGATCTGCTCTGCCACGTGGGCAAAATGCAGATGGTAAGTGGAGAGCATAAGCACTGGATGTGAAATCTTCAGTAACAGTTTATCAGCTGTGAGCTGGTGAAGGAGACTGTGCAGAGCAGCAATTGGACCTTCAGGAGATTTGGGAGGAATTGAGCTCTGCAGAAGTGCAGGGTGCCATACACATCATACAGGATGCAGGTAGGCTCTGCTCCCTGGCACAAATGGGCAATAAGATCCAAGCTGTCTGTCCCACCTACTGTTTTCATTTGCAAGGCCAGAGAAACTTGCTTCAGGTCATAAATGGCAAAAAATATGGTGATTCCCTCCCCTGGTGGAAGCCTCTTTGTTTTCTTTTCCCTCACATGCATGTTTAGAGACCTTCAGTCCCCTGTCAATATTCATCATATGAAGGCAATCTGGTTTGGTAGCAGATCTAGAGCCTCAGACCTCTTCTCACAAAACACCTTTGCTTTTATTACTGCCTGCTTATTCCCTGAGATACCTGTTTCCAAGGGCAAATCCTCAAAACCATCACCCCAATTGTGGAGACATCTGGCCTGTGGGCTACAAGATGGGCATTGTCCTTAGCTCAAAGTACTAGATTTAAGGTCAATATCAAATTTGACAGGAAAGAGTGGAAAGTCACTGCTCCCAGCTACTACTATGGTAGTCCTCATACTCAGCTGCATTTAGCAGATTCCCCCTGGAACGCCTTCTTTGCCAGTGTGACACCCCTCACACAGTGCTGGGTAGGAGTGGGATGCGTGCATAGGGAGGTAGGAGCAGCGAGTTCATTTTTGCTTCTGCTGAAGCTGTTCAGTTTGACTGAGGTGATCAAATGTACCCAGAGACAGAGAGAGCATATAAAGCACCTGGTGAGCACAGCATTTATTCCACTTGATTTATCATTTCATCCTAAATGACCAGTTTTGGGGGGAAACCCATGAATGTCTGTGAGGTTATAGATGACATGCATGGCCTCATCACTGTGAATGGGGCTACAGCATGACACTTTGTCCCAGTCATGGAGGCTGAGGTCTGTGGGGTGAGTCAGTGTCATCATGTGCATGCAGAGCTTCTGTGTGACCAGTGCACAGTGGCTCCTACCTATCCCATGTCAGAGGAAAGGGCTCATAAAACTAGTAGATTTAGTTATACCATGTATATGACAATAAATCAGTTTCTTGGAAATCAGTCAAATACCCAGCCAACTTTTAAGTCCTTGTCTGCCATAGATCAGTATCTTAAGCTAAAGGCCTTCTTCTTCCAAAGACTCCCACCTGGTAGGCTAGAAAAAGGTTCACTTTCTCTCTCTGTCTCTCTCCTTCTTTGACTTAGTGGAAATTTAATTGCTCTGTAAAAACTGAACAACTTCAATAGAAGGACAGATGAAGGCATTGGAGTTTTGCTTCTGGATGGACAGTGGGTTTTTTTTCCACAGAAACTGGAATACATCCTGGTTTTGATGAGATTATGGCTGCAAAATTCATGGAATGAATCAAATTATTGGATTTAAACTTTGCATGTGAGTGCACAATTTATATTTTTCCTCCTCAGTAAAGTCCCACTGCCCTCAGTGACATCTGTTATGATGTAATGAAAAGAGTTTCATGACTAGGCATGTCTGTCAAGCAATGTATTTTATGTTCTTTATGCAATGTATTCTGCCCTTGGATCCATGCAGGTGAAATGCAGTGTTGTTTACAGGTCTTGTTATTTTTCAAGTGAGTCCCATTTGCCCATACATATTTCATTAAGGCTGAGTCCTAGTAGTGCAATCTTCTGACCATTCCTGAGCAATCTGCCTTAACAGCAATACAGTGAAACAAGGGAAAACAGTTTTCAGCAACTAACAGTTTTCTAATAATTCTGGCTTTACAAGCCCTAAACCAAAACTAGAACATTGTTCATAAAGGCCTTTTTTAACCAAAAGAGAAATGATGAGAGAGGATCTACTTCAACCTTTTACTGAAGACTTTACTCATGCAGAGTTTCCTCTGACATTACTTAAATCAGACTTTGTTGGAATTGAACGGAGTAATGAATCTGGAAGTGGTGCTGAAAATGTTTATCAGTGTTGTGCCTGGTTTTACACTGTTCTCTCACTTCACCTTTCTGTCAACACCGGTGGGAGGGAACAGGGAATTAAGATCAATCATTTTGAAAACATTACTTTCAATTTTTAAGCTGAACACATGAAATTTTTGAATGCAAATAAAATGCAAGTCCTGAAATAAAGATTACAAATGGTGGTGGTGGAAACAGAGGACTATTCAAGTATCATTTACCTTTGAAGATTGCTTATTTGAAATACAGAACAAATGGCAGAAAAGCCCAGGGAGATTTCAGGATGGTTACTGGGGAAGAAAAAATAGCATAAAAACAGTTAACAAAATGTCCATATAATTAATCTATAGCAGTTTTAATAGATTTTTAAATACTTTTAAATTTATTTTAAATATATATTAGCAAATTAACCATAATTTTATTTAAAATTCTGTAAAGTGCTCATTCAGTTAATGATAGATCTCAATTGTAGCAAGACAAACTAGCTGGAGCCTATTCTGCAAGAACATCAAAGGACAGCTTAGCTTTCATTTGCAAAGAGAAAAGAAGTGCGTAGGTTTTTTCACAGCCCATATTATAATACCAGAAATTGCATTTTTTTCTTTAAGAAATATATCCTTTAGAATATTAAAAAAATAAGTTTAATAAAGCCTGTGCTTAAAACAGCCAACGTACTGTATGAAAAAAAATTGCACATTTGATACCCTTTCAACCCTGCTTTTCATCCACAGGATAATGTAAGGAGTATATGATGTTGTTGGAAGGTGTCTTGAACACAGCTGATTTTCCTAAGCTATCAGAGTTTCTCACAGCAGGTGGAATTTTCAGCACACACAGAGTGGTTGTCATGGCAGCTGCTGACCATCACACACCACTAACCTTCTCGTTCCCTGGGCCAATATTTCCCTTGGCGGTACCATCTAAACGATGCGTTCCTATCGTGACCGTCGAGTAATCCTTAGCCATCATTTTCGCCTCTTTTTTCAAACTCTTCATTTGTGCTAGCTGGAGCTGTCTGGAGTCATATGCAAGTGCTGGGATAGTGTTCACTAAAATCAGCTGGAAAGGTTTCTTCTCCTCCTTGTAGCGACACTGGATGTAGCGAGAGAAAGCTGAGCGGTAGGTTTTGTTGAACAACGTATACACGAGTGGGTTGACAGCCGAAGAAAGGTAGCCAATCCAAACAAATATGTTAAGGAGTCCTTCAATGACCTCTTCTTTGCATGACTCCTTGCAAATAACAGCCATCACATTGGTGATGAAAAACGGGCACCACATCACAACAAACAGAAAGAAGACAATGCCAAGGACCTTGGAAGCTTTCTGCTCATTGCTGATGGATTGCATTGTTCTCCTCCCTGAAGTCCCCGTATCTCTGTTCAAGGAGCGCTGAAAGAGTTTCTCTGAGGACAGGGAACTCTGAGGGAGGAAGCTGAATGAAGTAAACTTTGTCTTAGGGCCAATGTCATTCACACATAGCATAGCTTCCTTCTGCAGTGACTTGATAGTTAAAAAGTAAGTGACTACCATGATGGTTAGAGGGATGAAGAATGCCACAAAAGAGCCTACTAGAACAAAATTTTCATCTGCAAGTAAGCAGATGTCTTTCTTAAACATGTCTTTCTTAAATACTTTGGAGTCATCTTGTAGTCCAAAGACGGGTACAGGCATGGAGATACCTGAAGGTGGATGAGAGAAAGAAGAGTTTAAAAACAAAAATGAAAAACACTTCCAGCCTCCAAGAAAAAACAAACATCTACCTGTGTTCTACCTGTGGCTGAGGTGACTGTAGCAATACACCTTACCTCAGCCACTGGTGGAACACATTTGCTTCCTTCCAACTGTCTATGACACCTGGTAGCCAGAAAAGCATGGTTTTGGATCTTGGACCCCTGGTAATGATCTCCAGACTTGCTCCTTGGTCCCTGCCACCTTGCAAAGGATTTTATGAACTATGACCGAGATGACACTACGTATTTCTTTTCTGGAGTGCCATAAGAGTGATTTTGGACTGTTTTTCATTAGAGGATTAAAAGTGTTCTGGCTTCTAAATAGGCTGGGAAATACTAATTTTAGGAGGAAGATAATTTTTTGTCATAGGTCTAAGAGTAATCTTTCATTGTGTCTTTCACTTTTCTTGCTGTAATCTCAATATAGTAAAATGCTAAATGCTTACAAAACCCAGCTTCCCTTGTGGCAGTGGCCAGATAAACAACGGGAACAAATTAAGCCCTGAGAGCCACTGTGTGAAGCAGTCTGAGATGTAGTTTATCTTGCAAGACTACAAAAGTCCTTTCACTGTATTTCCAGCTACTAGAGGCTGCCTTCTCTGTGCACAGCCATGCAAAATTTGTCTTCCTCTGGAGCATGCATCCTTGGCTTGTCATGAATGGCAAGACAAGGTGACAAAGTCCATTCTCCTTGGACTGCTCTGTCTGTTTCAAGCCTACTCAGCCATTTCCGCAGGGATTTCTGCAAATGCTGCTAGAGTCTGGGTAAAATCAAACAGCTGCTGTTTCTCTGGTTGTTGGTTTGGGGTTTTTTTTCAGCATTTGTCTCTTCCCCTCCAAATGGATGCTGTCTCTCAAAGAGAGGCAATGTTCAGACAATGAAAGAAATTATGTGCTGCAAAGATACCAAAAGTGGAGTGAAGCAGGGGGTGATAATGCAGCCCTGTTTGGATAAAAGCAATCAGAATTCTGATTCCTGTGGAAAGTTAGCATAATCTGTGAGCTTCAGTCCCATTTTCATTTTGGATCAGAAATCCCAGTTGCTGTATTTGGCTTATGAGAAATAAAAACATTGACTAGAGAAGAATTTCTTATGATGTGAGGGTGCTGTGCCCTATTTTGCTCAGTGGATGCCCAGGAGTGTCCTTACTCGTTCACAGATGAGTCCTGAAAGATCTGCATTTCATTGGTACCTTCCTCTATCTCTCTTTTTTCCCTTCTTTCCACTCTGCTGCTTAAACTGGGATCCCTTTAAAAGCATAGCCTGTCTCTTCATTTCACACATATTCAGTGACCAGCATAACAGCTCCAGTCCTAGAGGAAGTCTGTGGAGTACAGGCTCAATACCAAACAATAATAATCACAGTAATAATAACATTAGATTATTATTATGTTCAAGTGCTTAATTCTTTTTGTTCCTCTGCAGGTTCTACAAAGACTTTTTTTTTTTTCTAGGAACACTGTAGCTTATTTTGTCTTTGCAGCTTTGAACTGAGTCATGGCATTGCCTCAGGCCACTTTAGAAAAATGTTTTTCTTATCTGCCAGGGCAGAAGCTGGTGGAGAGCCTGTGGTATTACCCTTTCTGTTTCTCCTGCTCAAGCTCTAAATGCTTGAACTTGGGCTAGGAGAAGCCAGTGAGTGAGATGCAAACTCATGCAGTCTGTGGCAGCTCCTGAGCTGAGCTGACAGAAACCTCCAGCGTTTTTAGCTACTGGCTAAAAAAGTCCAAGTCCATCTCACTGAAAGCATGGAGGCAAAGGTCACCATCAGAAGCCAGACTGTCCAGCCATGGCCGAGTAATCTGGGGTGCTGAACAACTCCAGGGAAATGAGGAATGCTTTGAAGTTAGTTTTCTTTTTTTGGATGAGTTGAAGGGGTGATGAAGGCATCCAGCACCTCTCAGCGTCATACTCCAGCTGCACAAAGACACAGCATTAATCAGAGCAATACCACAAGTTTCCCATCTGCTTCTGCCCTGTGCTGATAACAGTGAGGCTGTTTTTTCATTTAATTCAAAGACCTAGTGTGAGCTGCAGAGATAAAATAAACAATGGTATTGACAGAGTAAAAAGATGCTTTTCATTACTACCTTATGGTTCAGCTGCATGAGGAGGCATGGGAGCAGTGGCTGCAGCACTAGAAAGAGGAAAATTTTCGCATAATTTTCATCCTTTTTCAAGTAAAGAGCCAAAGTCTGCTACAACTTCTCGCCTGAAACAAGAGGAGCAATTCCCCAAATGCTTGGTTTTGTTCTTAGCAGCTTCTGGAGACTGGCATCTAAATCCAGATTTCTGGTTTTATAAAATGGAAATGGGCTTCAGCATATAGCAGAAGTTCCTGCATTTCTTTGCCATTCATTTAACAAACATGAAAGTGCTGTACCAGCAGAGCTGCTAGTCACGTAGGTTTTTCTGAGTGACCATTCAAGGCATCTTTCCCCTACAGCCACAGGGAAGTGGTCTGTATACAATTTGAAAACAGCAGAGATACCACGCTTTGGTGGCAGAGAACACTGACAGCTGTAGACTGCTTTTTGTGTAAGCCCAGTTCAGTTGATGCAGGGCATCCCTCAAATGATACTGTGGCATTCCTGCATGGAAAAAGTGAATGTCCAGGCCAATTTTCTCTTTTCATATCTCTACAGGGACTAAATTTACTGTTTTCCTCCTGAAAGGAACAGGGTTTGTTCCTGCTCAACAATTGGCTTCTGCAGCATAAGTATGGCAAATTCCATGAGGATGCAGGGACAAAATTCAAAGGCAGTCATATTTAAACTGGCAGGAGCTTCCATGTGCAACTTACATCCACTATTTTGATGGAAGTTTTAGGAATCATCACATATGGCCAAAAATATAACCCACATGTCACGTTTGGTCAAGATCAAGTTTGTCCTGTAAACCCATAACAAAAAGTCCTAGTCTAAAGTTGCATTAGCATTATTGCAACTGACTGAATTAATTATTTAAAAGTTGAATATTAATGATCTCTTTCACCTGGATGATTCAGATGTATACTCGCTGGTTTACTTGTCCTTGCTTTCCAGCTCCCTGCTCTTGGTGACTGGATGTTTAAGGAGACACAGATGGTGCCTGTGCATTCAAATGTCATAAGAAGAAAATCAGCTTCACAAGAAAGGATCATGCAGAGCTACCAGGTAGGGACAAACAGGTGTTTGGGAAGTGAAGCATGTGCCAACAGTAGATCTGGAGGAAACAACCTGGAAGGGCTGTAACAGAACAGCTATTCCACACCCTGCCCATTCCATGCTCCCACTAGGTCAAGGTCAGTCTGGAAAAAATCTTCGTATCCCCTGAGGGCTTTTTATGATTTATCTTCCTTGGCTTTCAAAAGAACTAAACTGAGGCACAAGGAAGCATTAAGCACAGAATAGGAGAATCCATTCAAGCACTAAAGGTATATTAGCCACTCCATTTCCAGTTGACATTCCCATTTGGAACATTTTCTCTTGTCAACAAACCCTAAATATTATGTTCCTCTGGTACAAGGTGGTTTATTTATATGGTTTGATTTATACACATGTGGCTGTTTCAAACTGTGGATTTTAATAAACTGCACAATAGATCCCAAACAATGAAGATGGGTAATAAATGCTGCATTAAACCTAAAGAATTTGGGCACATTTTCAGAATTACAAAAGGCTCTTGAAAACACCAAAGGTTAAGAGTAAAGCAATGGCATCCTTTTTGTTCTCTCAAAAAGCCTGGTGAAATTGACAAAGGTTGATATAGTGGTACACACTGCTGGCTTCAGAGGTATGCAGCAGCTATAAAACCACTTTAACTGGACAGCTAAACTGGGTTTGCTGCCTTGAGCTGCTGAGAATTTCAATAAATCAAAGCCATAATTTACAATGTGTGTGTAGGGTGGCACACTTGGGTTACTTGGGGTGAAGATAAGGAGGGGGAAGTGAATTGATAAGGTCAAGGTTCTTTCAGTGAAGTGTCCTTTAAGCAGACACTGTCAGTCACATGCTTTCACCTTGCTTATATCTATTTCAATTTTGTTTAATATAAATGAGCATTATTCTGTGCCTTAATAAATGTCCAAGGGTTAGGAACTACCTTTTAGAAATGTCACTAGTTTTTCAAAAACTGTGGCACCTTTGTTCGCCTTCTCATGAAAAACAAAAAACTCTCCCCATCTCAGGCTTTAGCACTCACATTGATTCAGACATACCAGGTCATGGGCCAGCTCATGGGCCACTGCCCAAAGATGTGCTGTGACATAGAGGCCTCTGAAAGGATTTCTGCTTGAGAAGGCCAGTGTCTCCTTCAAGCAGCTCAATGTGACCTTATTGTCTAATTTCTTTAGAAAAGCCCATGCTAGTATCTGGCGCCTGTTTGTACTCAGAAAATATCTTCTGTTGGGACATCTAGACATTCAAACAGCAAACAGATGTCCATGTATAGCTCACCTGATACATCCCAAGGCATGCAATGCATACTCTCAATTTTGTGTTGTATAAAAATCTTGTTGCACACTGTCATCACATTATTTTCAATATTTGTGACTTAATTAACCACACAAAAGAATATTTGTTCCTTTGGACTACCATGGTGCCCTGTGTGGATGTTGCTCAAGGATCACAGTGAGCTACAGTGAGCCACTTGTTGCAGGGGGACCATGGATCATGTCCTCCTCTGAATATCAAGGATAACAATGTGCCTGGATCTTATATGAGGAGCTGGAGTTTAGCAACAGTTACTTCCACTTAAACATCCACAGAGGAGCTGCTCAGTCTGGCTTTGTGTCTCTGCTTGGCATGTGATATTCACAGTTATAGTTGGTACATCACTACGTTTCATTGTTTTGTCATTACAGCATTGTTTCCCCCGACCTGCAAACGCTTAGCTGCTCTCTGCATGCACCTGACAATGTTATTCCCCCATTCACTCCTTTCCAGTCATGACAAACCCTTCACTGTGA